AGAGACCCACAAGGAGACCCATAAACTCACGCAGAGACTCACAGACTCGCACGGATTGAGTTGCGATTGACGGAATGATTACCGAGAGGACGACTCCTGCCGAGATGGAGGCTTGAGCTCAGTGGAGGCGCTGCCGTGAGCGCTATCTCCTGTGAAATCGCGGGCAGGCGTTCATCCAGCAGTGGATAAACAATGAGTGATGATTATGATGATGAGTGCACACAGATGCCGTGTATGTTTGATCACTTCCTCCCCACTCCCATCTATTTTTGTGATTACCAATGAGCATACCTCTGCTATGTATTGTTGTTGTTACGCGGTTCACGTTTGAGCGGAAACCATTGTTATCATAACAGCTCTTGAGTATAAACTATGGACAATAGCAACACGCGGTGCTGGCACGAATAACAACAACATGTTCATCATCCGCGTTGCGGGGGGGGGGGTCAAGGCGACTGATGCGCGGCTCGCTCGCTGCTTGCCGTGTTTAGTTTGTGTTTAGTTTGTAGTTTAGTTTGTAGTTTGTGTTAAGTTTGTGTTGTCCGTGCCCCGCACCTCCGACTAGCGCGGTTGGCTACGTACGGTGCGAAAGACGTTCGACGCGCATGCGCACCAACCCCCGCGTCCTTTCGATGTTATCTGAATTTGTGTCTCCCAAAAGAAGCTCCCCCGGGGGCACGTGGATCGAAACGTCGGACATCGTGCCGGACGCCACCGGACACGCGGTAACAATCAGCAAACGCATCGTGGGTTGGAAACTGCTTAAGATACCAGGCTTATACACGCGCATGTAGGGACATACGTACAAATATGAACACTTACATTACTGATAAACATGCTTCGTGATTACTATGTCATTACGATGGTGTATGCGCATTCGTCTCCCCAGTGCTGATGTTGTCACGCAGCTCCAGATATTCATTGAAGGCTGAGCGGACCTAAGGGTCGGTTCAGAAAATCGTGACTGGTGTTCGGGAATGGATCTCGGGTGGCCGGGTTAGCAGCGCATGCTATACGGGGGATCTTTGTCTTTGTACGTGTGAAACGTGGTTATAGCACTTCGTTACAAAGCCTACGACCCGAGTTCCATTCCTACTCGCGACAAAATAGACCGGTCATGGCCCTTCCCTAGGTCGACTCAGCCTTCAATGAGTACCTGGCGCGGTGTGACAACAACAGCACTGGGGGAGACAAAGGCGGTCGGGCGTGGTGTTGGCCACCCACCTCCTCGTGTGCCGTTCCGGCCTTCATAGGTGCTCGCTAACACCACTTGCCCCAGAGGGTTTTTTGTCTAAAACGTTCATTACATTCAGACTTTGTATTTTCGTAAAATGTGATTTTTATTTGTTGTAAGATGTTTTTTTTCACTATTGCTGCATGTTATTTTTATTTTATTTAAGGTCAATTGTTGGTTCAGCTATTCGGCTAACATCTATGAATGACATCGTCATGTATTGATTCGTGAATACAGTTGGATATTACATTTAAGCAGCAATTGATTGCTGTGTAAAAATAAAAACCCAACACACTCGCCAACAACACTGCCTTAAAAAGCTAAAAATGTGCACATAATCGGTGACGTTTCACGCAATAGCCCTTATTCAGAGCAGATATGAATGTTAGACGAGGCAGCCTGTGTGTTGAAAATTGAGAAATATCGGTCATTCATATACATATACACACAAATGCCTACTAATTCGCAAACATGCATTTACTGACAAGGAAGTGATGTTACTGCCATTGTTGTGATTGAGTACAGGTATGCATAGTGCATGCATGTGCCTACTACGCTTTAATTACATTTACCTTTAGTTATGCTTTTTGAAATGCAACGTACCATTTTTGCAAGAATATACATTTAACGCCACCATTTCAACGTATACTTGTGTTTATGGGGATTGCTTTTAACATGTTGTACACTATCGTTATATATATGTGCCATTTCTGAACGAACACAAATCGGGCAAAGCTTCCAAACGTCGCAAGGTGATATTTGATTGTCAACTTCGAGTTAAAATCACAACGCTTCCACAAAGAGTGTGAACATCTTTACCGCTGTCTTCTGAATGTGTTCACAAGCGTCTTGGAGTGGCCTGTTTGTGCAATTGTCACGCAGTGCACACAACTCGCCTTTGACGCAACCGTCCATCGGCGACATCATCCTTTACCATACAACGCCGTTGGGCGCCATTCTATCGCGTATGAACGCAAACCTTAATTTGAAGAAGTATGTGAAACGTTGACTTTTTGTGTAACCTTTGCAAGCGAGCGCACGACTAAGTTCGAGACGCAGAATAAGTACACGGAGTACTCACAAAACAACAAACCCGGCCAGCCATTGCAACAATGATGCTCTTTAGGCTTTAGAATTGGATAACCCCCAAAGCGACGTTGAAATAATTATGAATGAACGTCTTCAATAATACAGCCCAGACACGCATGCGTGTGTATGTACGTACGGTTGCCAATGTACAAGCGCATAAGCGTCAAACTCCCATTGTGGCATCTGCATACGATTCGTAGGCTTTTAAGACCCTGGGTTGACATAATAACCAAAACAACAACAACAACACACATGCTCCCGTAAATCGAATGCATAGCCTTTCGCTTGTGCTCGCCTGTTTCACGTTGGTTGCAATGGGCCCGTTCGGTCAAACAGCGCTCCGGTGCCAAAACAGCAAAATCCGCGCGCAGTCGCGCTACCACGCTGTGGCTTCCGCGCGAACGAGATTTTTGTTTGACTTTTGCTAGTTGCTACGATTAACACCGGCCAGCACCATCAGCAACAGCGAGTTAGCAGCGTGCCCACCGCCGACCCCCCCCCCCCCCCCCCGGAATATTGACACCGATAGTCGCCAAAATCCAATCGTCACTTTTTAGTTTACGCATTAAACTAAATCGCCGGGCATCGCATAACCAATTCCAGTGAGGCTGCGCGTTGTAATGCAATTGGCTTTTATTAATCACGTATGCAATATGAGCGTCGTCGTTATAAATACCCCGCTTGCGAGCAATAGGGTCACAGAGAGACGCGCATGGCAGCCCCGATCGCTGCCATGCGCAGCAGCGTCATAACGCAACACGCGCCACACACACACCACACACACACCACACACTGCACTACACACACGCACCACACACACACACTCCACACACACACACACGAACCACACACACACCACACACACACACCACACACACACACCACACACACAGACCACACACATGGACCACACACATGGACCACACACACCACACACACGAACCACACACGCACCACACACACACACACCACACACATGCACCACACACACCACACGCACCACGCACCACACACCATACACATGCACCACACACACACGCCACACACGCACCACACACACACACACACACACACACGCACCACACACACGCACCACACACACGCGCCACACACACAGATCGCACACACACGCACCGCACACACACGCACCACACACACGCACCACACACACACCACACATACGCACCACACACACACACACGCACCACACACGGACCACACGCAGACCTCACACACACGCACCACACACAGACCTCACACACACGGACCACACACAGACCTCACACACACGCACCACACACAGACCTCACACACACGCACCACACACAGACCTCACACACACGCTCCACACACACACCACACACACACACGCGCCACACACACACCACACACACACGCACCACACACACGCACCACACACACACGCACCACACACACACACCACACACACGCACCACACACGCATCACACACAGACCTCACACACACGCACCACACACACGCACCACACACACACGCACCACACACACACACCACACACACCACACACACCCCACACACGCACCACACACACACGCCCCACACACGGATCACACGCAGACCTCACACACACGCCCCACACACAGACCTCACACACACACCCCACACACACACGCACCACACACGCACCACACACACGCACCACACACACACACCCCACACACGCACCACACACACACATCACACACACACACCCCACACACACACCCCACACACACACCCCACACACACACCCCACACACACACATGCACCACACACACACGCACCACACACACACGCACCACACACACCCCACACACACACACGCACCACACACACACCCCACACACACACACGCACCACACACACACGCACCACACACAGACCGCACACAAGCGGCGCATCGTGTAGGTGTGCAAGAGCGCCGCCTTGAATGGCCCCTTCTCATCCACCGTGACTCGAGCGAGTGTGCGCGCGTGTGCCCGTGTGTGTGTCCAAAGCACCAGCAGAGCTCTTTACACATCACAGAACCCAGTCGCACCGTAGCCGCCCCGCAGTCAGCCAGAGCAGAGACGCTCGCAGCGCGCCGTGCGTGGGTACGCGTTGCTCTGAGAGGCGGCGGCGGTGGGCTTAAGGAATCACGGGGAGAACCGTTTAATTGGATAACGCATGTTTGATGCGGCACGTGGAAGGCTGCCGTCACAGCGAGAAAGCCCCCCCCCCCCTCTTGCCCGCTTGGCGGCGCCTTGGCAGCCCCCCGTGACCGACGCCTCTGCGTTTCTGCGGGGCGCGGGGAGCCACTACGATTGCTGTGCCCCCCCCCCGACACTGCTTGTGCCAAGAAACAGGGGCTCCGCGATTTGCTTAAGACGCGCGCACACACACACACAGAGAGAGCAACAACACAACACAAAGTAAGAGGCACTGAGAGCGAGAGAGAGAGGGCGGAGGAGCATGGTGCTAAAGAGAGGGAGTAGGAGGTGGTGGAGGGAGGGAGGTGGAGGGAGGAGGGACGAAGGGAGGGGAGGACGAGGGAGGGCAAAGGAGGTGGGGGGGGGCGAGAATAAGACGAGGAGGAGGAGTAAGTAGGAGGAGGAGGAAGAGTAGTAGTAGGAGGAGGAGAAACCAAAAATGCGCCAAAGTTTTTTTTTCTACAAACTCTGGGTGAAATTTAATTGAGGAGGGCTGATTTCTCCCGGGGCCGCGCTTGCTCGGATATATGCGGCGGTGCGTGGAAGGGCCGGCAGCGATTCGTGGCCTGACGCGGAGCAGGAGATGACATCTCCGATCCCTCGCATCAGATAGGCTGGCCCGGAGGTCGCCCCCTTCAATAGCTCAGCAGCACCGCGACTGCATTGCCTCAGTCGCAGCGGTACCGCGGCGTGCGCACGCGTGCGTTATAAATACGAAGACAGCAAACCCACCCACCCACCCTATCCCTCCTGTGCCTGTTGGGTACGGCCTGCTGCAACGCAGCCTTGCTCTACAGCAGCAGCAGAGTCTTGGCTCGCACAGCCAGGCACAGAGAGACAGAGAGACAGACGAGGAGGAAATATAGACAGAGACAGCGTTTTTCACGACTTGAGAAGTACGGCTCAAACGCTCGACCGCGAAGTGAAGTCAGCGCAGATTTGTTCTGTAGCGCTCCGTGCAATACGAAGTGGGGAAGAGTTGTGTGTGTGGGGGGGGGGGGAGTTCTTGCTCGCCGCAGAGGCAGACATTCAGGGAGAAGTTTGAGTTCGTGGCCGTGGTGCCCGCCGTCGGCTTTTAGATGCAGTGTCGAGAAGATCTGTGCGTTCTCAACTCCGTGCAGCTGACATCGTCCTCCTCTCGACCGTTACCCGACTCGTGCGCCACTGCAAGTAAGTGCGTGTGTGTGGCGTGTGTGTGTACGTGTGTGCGTGTGTGGCGTGTGTGTGTGTGTGCGTGTGTGTGTGTACGTGTGCGTGTGTGTGTGCCTGTGTGTGTGTGTGTACGTGTGTGGCGTGTGTGTGTGTGCGTGTGTGTGTGTAAGTGTGTGTGCGTGTGTGTGTAAGTGTGTGTGTGTACGTGTGTGTGTACGTGTGTGTGTGCGTGTGTGTGTGTGCGTGTGTGTGGCGTGTGTGTGTGTGTGGCGTGTGTGTGCGTGTGTGTGGCGTGTGTGTGTGTAAGTGTGTGTGTACGTGTGTGTGCGTGTGTGTGTCTACGTACGTGTGTGTGTGTACGTGTGTGTGTGTGTGCGTGTGTGTGTGTACGTGTGTGTATGTATGCGTGTGTGTGCGTGTGTGTGCGTCTATGTGTGTGTGCGTGTGGTGCGTGTGTCTACGTGTGTGTGCGTGTGTGTGTACGTGTGTGCGTGTGTGTGCGTGTGGTGCGCGTGTGTACGTGTGTGCGCGTGTGGTGTGTGTGCGTGTGCGTGTCTGCGTGTGCGCGTCTGTGTGTGCGTGTGTGTGTGGATGCGTGTGTGTGCGTGCATGTGTGTGTGCGTATGTGTACGTGTGTGAGTGTGTGTGTGTAAGTGTGCGTGTGTGTGTACGTGTGTGTGCGTGGGTGTGTGTACGTGTGTGTGCGTGTGTGTGTGTGCGTGTGTACGTGTTTGTGTGTGTGTGCGCGTGTGTATGTGCGTGTATGTGCGTGTGTACGTGTTTGTGTATGCGTGCGTGTGTGTGTATGTGCGTGTGTGTGTGCGTGTGTGTGCGGTGCGTGTGTGTGTGCGTATGTGCGTGTGTGGTGCGTGTGTGTTTGCGTGTGTGCTGTGCGTGTGTGTGTGTGTGCGCGTGTGTGCGTATGTGTGTGTGCGTATGTGTGTGTGCGTTTGAAGAACCTCTTTTTTTTCTCCACGCCCGTAACGCTTACCACATGTTGTTCTCTGCGCGTTATGTTATTGCTTTGAAGGCGACTCATAGCTGCAGCGAGAGTCGCGGCGCACGCGTTAGAGCGGCGGCACGAAACTTAGTGCGCAAAGTAGGGGACGGAGCCGTGCGACTCGACCGGTAACCACCGTGGCGTTACGCAACAAGAGAGCAGCATCGTGTAGCACACACACACATGTAGCACACACACACGTAGCACACACACACACGTAGCACACACACACGGAGCACACACACACACCACTCACACACACACGTAGCACACACACCACTCACACACACACACGTAGCACTCACACACGGAGCACACACACACGTAGCACACACACGTAGCACTCAAACACGGAGCACACACACACGGAGCACACACACCACTCACCACTCACACACACACCACTCACACACATAGCACACACACACACACGTAGCACACACACACGTAGCACACACACACACCCCACTCACACACACACACCACTCACACACACACGTAGCACACACACACACGTAACACACACACGGAGCACACACACCACTCACACATAGCACACACACACCCCCCCACACACACACACACCACACACACACGTAGCACACACACACCACTCACACATAGCACACACACACCACACACACACGTAGCACACACACACACTCCACACACACACCACTCACACATAGCATACACACACACCACACACACACCACTCACACACACCACTCACACATAGCATACACACACCACACACATACACCTCACTCGCACACACGTAGCACACACACCACTCTCACACACACACTACTCACACACACACCACTTACACACACACAGCATACACACACACACACACGTAGCACACACACACACATCACTCACACACACATCACTCACACACACACCACTCACATACACACCACTCACACACACACCACTCACACACACCACTCACACACACACCAGTCACACGTAGCACACACACACACCACTCACACCACACACACACACCTTGCTCACGCGTAGCACGCACACACGTAGCACACACACACCACTCACACACACACACACTATACACACCACTCACACACATACCACTCACACACACACCACTCACACACACACACCACTCACACACGCAGCACTCACACACACACCCCCCCCCCCACACACACACACACCACTCACACACACACACCACTCACACACACACTACTCACACACACACACCACTCACACACACACCACTCACACACACCACACACACCACTCACACACACACCCCACACACACATACACATCACTCACACACACCACACACACCACTCACACACACCCCATACACACACCACTCACACACCACTCACACACACACCACTCACACACACACCACACATACACACCACACATACACCACACACACCACTCACACACACACCACACACACCCCACTCACACGGAGCACACTCACACACACACCACTCACACACACAGCACTCACACACACACAGCACTCACACACACACCACTCACACACCACACACACACCACTCACACGTAACACACACACACCACTCACACACACGGAGCACACGCACACACCACTCACACATAGCACACACACCACTCACACACACACCACTCACACACACCACTCACACCACACACACCACTCACACATCACTCACACACACACACCACTCACACACGGAGCACACACACACCACTCACAACGCGCGTGCATTCTGTATGAATCACTGCCTCTTACACATGCCCCATCTCACTTGGCGTGTCATCTTCAGTCTAAGATGCACGAGTGGACAGAACCGGCGGTGGCGTGGTTTACGTTATTTTTTTGCGACGAATGAATGGCTCCACATTTCTCAAGAGTGTCAAACAAAAACAGAGAAATCACGAACGGATCTTGCGTTCATTACAGAATTTCTTTCCAGCGTTTTGGCGTAAGCATGAGAGCCATCACCAGCTCGGCCGACCGACTGATATTGTAACGCCATATAATTGATGACACAACTGGAATCTCGCAAAGGTGCATGTCGCGTGTTAGGTTATACGTATATATATATATAAACACGTTCATACTATTAAGCGCGTATGTGTTCAGCGACTCAGCCTCAAATGAGTACCTGGTGCTGTGTGTAAACATCGCCACTGGGGAGACAAAGGCGGTCTGGAATAGTGCTGGCCACCCACCCCCTCGTGTGCCGTGCCGGACTTCATAGACGCTCTTGCCGTCACACCACCGTTCAGGCAACACGGGGAGGAGGGTAACTTCGTATTTGCGTTCCGCGCTCAGACAATACAAATGATAAACTGTGGGTGTATATGTAATACGCGAATTATACACCACACAGGACCTCGCTGCAACGTTATTTTGACGCATTACGCAGTCAACGGGCGAAGGTTATTCATGAAACTTGGGTTGCGATGGCGGGCGGGCAGAGCGGGGCTTTTTCTGTGCCGCTGAGCACTGAGATGCACCCACGGCTGCGTTGAAAATCTGTCCCGAAGCAGTCGAGGCGTGCGTTTTTTTTTGTTGTTGTCCGTGCTGTTGCCGAAGTTTCGCGTTTTAAAAAAAATTTAACAACGAAGAGGCAACATTCCCAACGTAACATCGACGCGCCTGTGAAGAATACGACTTCTTCTCGGGACACAGGAGGGGAGCGTGACGTTCAAACCTTCACAGTCAGCTACTCTGGCCACATGCGAGCGGTGTTCGAATTGAACATTTTCAATCGAGAACAGCAAACGCCCACCGTTGTTGTTTTTTGCGAGAGGTTAATGCGGTATCAGTCGTGATTGGGAACACTGGAATGGTCAAACGGGGTGCGTGGGGGGAAGACTAACATCGCTTTAATAGCGAATCTGCGTAAAGAGTGCCGCGCGCTGATGAATGAATCATCTTAGCTCAACAACGCAATGCGGAAGGACCCTCTTGCTCACCGAGTATTGAGACTCATTGAGGATTTCCCGTGTAAAATAATCCACAATAAGAATTGCAACAATAATCATGCACGTCTTATAAATGCTGAACACGATACGCGCGCGTGTGCGTGCGTTCGTTCATTAAGAGCGAGCAACTTGGATGTTTGCTTACATTGCACGGACGGCATTTAATTTCAAAATTCCGCCAAGCTTGTGCAATATTAATGTGTTTTTTTATTTTCCCTCCGCTTAAACCGAACGCCTCCAAAAAAAAAAGACACGCATCCTGCGCTTGAGCTACTTAACGAGGTGGCGAGAGAAAGAGGGAGAGAGGTCTGCGCGTTTTACCCCCCCCCCCTACCCCACCACTCTTCTAGCCACGCGAGCGATGGCAACATTTGTTAACCCCTTGGCTGAGACACTTTTCTCCAATGCGACCCCCTTCGCGACCTCCCTCTGCCCCCGCCTGCCACTGAGTTGACACTGAACACAGTCTCGACTGTCAGAGCCAGCCGCGGTCTCGTCGCGTTAGCGCCACTTGTTATAGCAGCAGCAGTAGCAGCAGCAGGGCCACGTGTTCCTGTCCCACGCGTCTTCTCACGTCGAGCACTCTCCAAAGGTCACTGTCACAAGCGGGGTCAGCAACTGCTGCTGCTGCTGCTGATGATGATGTGGCGATGATGAGACTCGTGACGATGAAATGTCTCTCGCCCTGAGCCCTTGTCAATCGCAGCATTGACACCGAAAGTGCGCAATTTAGCGAAGCTCTTCCGTCATTTTGTTTTTCAAATTTTCTTGCTGTGGATTTCACACCTGATGATGATTGCTTGTGTTGCAGTCGAAACGTCGTGATAATTTTTATTGTTTTATATTTTTATTATTTTATTATTTCCCTTCTACGTGACTTTACCGAAAGAACCAAGAATATGAATCCCTGCAGTCACGAAAGCTTTAAATCAAAAATCTCTTCCGTCGTGTTTCCGCGTCGCACCGCGCGTTGTTCGACGCGGCTTCGTGCGGTATTCGTTTCCACGTGTCGCGAAACGACGGCCATCACGTCGAACACGGCAAAGAACAACCACGAAAACACCACTCGAAGAGCCTTTTCAGCATCCACCGCGACAAGCCCAATCAGTCGCACGTAGCAGCAGCCACCAGTTGTCCGTCATGCACACACAGAAGCGGTTTTGGGTGTGCGTGGTCATCGCCTGTGGAACAGCCTGCCAGGGGGATCTGATGGCTTCAGCAAACATTAAGCGCTTTTAAGTTCTATCTAAAAAGCTCACCTTTTAAAACTTGCTTTTACTTAAGATTATTGTATAGTGTTCTTTTTTTAATACGCCTTCGACGGTAATTATAATGCAAATTTTGTTTTGCATGGAAATTGCTTTTAATCTTCTTGTGATTTAATCTTTTTTATTATTATATCTGTACAACACTTTGAATGGCATCCTTTGCAACGAAATAGCGCTATAGAAATAAAGGCATGATTGATTGATTGTTGCCAAAGTTACATCGATATTCCCGCCACGCGCACCGAGTTAGAAGATCAGCGGCCCGTAACTCACTCGGAGCGGCCAACCGAGAAGCAACGAACGATTGCGACGCAGATTTGAGTGAAACGAAACGACGACGACCGCGTTTTGAATTCAGCAAATCCGTGGGTGACTTGGACCAGAGACGAGATGGGCGGTCGTTCCAGGACAGGGCAATACCAAGAAATAAGGAGGAAAACAATGAGGCTTGCATCCTGCAATCATAAACGGGGTAGTTGAACACAGCACGGACAAGAGGAAACGACCAATCTTGTCGGAGTTGGCTGTTGTGGATATTTGACCGGTTTGTCCGTGTGTGTGTATCCATGCGTTCTGTTGTTTGCAATGCCGCATTCGAATTCATAGCACCTGTATGTCCGCACGCTGGCAAATTTGCGTAACCAACGAATTAATAGCTTGCTGATGAGCGCCAAGAACTCGCCACCGGTGAACAAGTCTGCCTTGTTGACTGCCGTTACCCGTGAATTATATAAAGAGCCTATTCCTGTTTTATCACCAGTGGACTGTGCAATCGTTGCCACTCAGACGTAAGTAAATGTCCAGCTAACAACGTCTCCTCCTCCATCCTCGTCTCTCCCCCCCACCCCACTCCCCCTCCTCTCGTGTCGCCTCCTCCTTCTCCTCGCCACCACCATCACCACCACCTCTTACCACCTCAACCACCACCACCACCACCACCTCCACCACCACCTCAACCACCTCCACCACCACCTCCACCACCACCTCAACCACCTCCACCACCTCCACCACCTCCACCACTTCCACCACCACCTCCACCACCACCACCACCTCAACCACCTCCACCACCACCTCAACCACCTCCACCACCTCCACCACCACCACCACCTCCACCACCTCCTCCACCACCAGATCTCTCGGCCATGAACCAGTCGACAACGATGGACGCCTCCTCGTACCTGGCTCTCAAGCAGTCGTCGCTCAAGGATTCCCCGGACAAGTCGAGCGGCGAATCGGTGTCCGAGCGAGACGGAGGGGGGGGCACGCCTGGCGTCAAGGCGGCCAAGAAGAGACGAAACCGCACCACCTTCACGAGCTACCAGCTCGAGGAGCTGGAGAAGGTCTTCCAGAAGACCCACTACCCGGACGTGTACGCACGAGAGCAACTCGCATTGCGCACGGATCTCACGGAGGCGAGAGTGCAGGTAAGGGCACGGTGGGGGGCTGGGGTGGTGGGGGGCTGGGTGGGGATGCAATCGATGGAGGTAATGGGGAAAATAAATTTGAATTCGAGAACTCGTTGGTGTTAAAGTTGCAGCTCTCTCTCCCCGTTGTGTGTGTGGGGAACTGTGGCGCGGCAGTTAGCAACACGAACCTGACCACCCGGGTTCCATTCAAGCTTCACGGCCAACACCGGTGGCGATTATCTGAACCGGTCCTGGGCCTCCCCTAGGTTGACTCGGTCTCAAATGAGTACCTGGTGCTGTGTGCAACAACATCGCCACTGGGGAGACAAAGGCGGTCGGGCGTGGTGCTGGCCACCCATGCTCTCGTGTACCATGCCGGTCTTCATAGGTGCTGCTCGCTAACAGCGCTTGCACCAAAAGTCTGTTTAGGCTATACGGGGGATCTTTGTCTTGTCCTTGTGTTTCGGTTTGTTACCACGTGGTTGCCCGACGTTTCGCTGCACATCGGACGTCAGTCGCGTTGAACAACGCGCAGTGAAACCCGCTAATATATTCTAGATTTGAAGCTTTCGTGACTGCAAGGATTCATACTCCGAGGTTTTATCGGTAAAGTCACGTAGGTGAAAATTTTTAATTAATAAAAGTAAAATAAAAATAAAATAAAAATCACGAAGTTTCGAATTTCTCTCACTTGATACAGCTGTCGTGCTGTGACGGTTCCACCTGAAGACGGAGGCTTGTGTTGCCTTCGAAACGTCGTGATTTTTATTTTATTTTTATTTTACTTTTATTAATTTTAATTTTTCACCTACGTGACTTTACCGAAAAAACCTAGGAGTACCGCTAATATATGTCGGGCGTGGCGGGGGGGAGAGCTCTCTAGCAACAAACTCGGGAGCCTGAGCAGTCATGATACTCGTCACTTTGTCAAGGGAGACCTGGGCCAGGCAGTGCAGGCACATGTGTAGGGGCCGTCCATAAATGACGTCACGCACCTAGGGGGGGGGGGGGGGGAGTCAGACATTTGTGACGATGTGTGACGAGGGGGGAGGGGGGTTGAGAAATGTGACGTCACATCAAAATGCGCAACTTTAAATAAATATAGAATAATATACTGTTTGATATTAATATTATTTTATTATTTCCCTTCTACGTGACTTTACCGAAAGAACCAAGAATATGAATCCCTGCAGTCACGAAAGCTTTAAATTAATAAATATAGAATTGTTTATAACAACACTAATTGTTCTAACAATACTCTTACAACATCAGAGTGCAGCGCCACATTAAATACGCTCTACAATGACAATAGTTTAAAGCGATTTGAAGCATTTTTTATTTTCAAAATGGAGTCATGGTTTTGGGGGGGAGAGGCAGAGCTTTGTGACGTCATTTGAGGGGGGGTCTGACTTTTTGTGACGTCGCGTGACGAGGGGTGGGGGGGTCAAAAATCGTCCAAAATCGCGTGACGTCATTTATGGACGACCCTTTTATCAAAGGAGACCTGCGTGTAGCAGTACAGGTACATGTGTAACAATGTGACTGGCTACAACAATGAATGGTGGTAATTCTAATGATGATGATAACTAAGCCTATAGCCATGTCCAAGGCAGTTTATCTGAAATATTCAATCGAAAATAATGACCCGCTAATGATAATTAATGAGGGGCTGGGGTCCACACGAGTGACGTCATCAGCTCATGATTATTAATGAGGGAGGGACCTCCATGTGCAGTGACGTCATCCGCTCATGATAATTTATTAGGGGCGTGGCATGTAGAGTGACGTCACCCGCTCATGATTATTAATGAGGGTAGTTGCCCCATGTGGAGTGACGTCATCCGCTCATGATTATTAATTAGGGGTGTGGCATGTGGAGTGACGTCACCCGCTCATGATTATTAATGAGGGGTGTGGCATGTGGAGTGACGTCACGCGCGGGACACACACACATTATTGACTTATGATATTAGTAATGCAACAATTAACAATGATAATATTAATGGTGATGATGAGATGCCGCCGAATGGAAAGGGTACCCAGAATAAGTGTTTTTATCTTTTCTTATTGAATTTACATTCTGTTCAAATGCAATGGCTACGTACGGTGCGAAAGAAGTTCAACACGGAGGCTTTCGCAAACAATATCCATAACATAGTTAGATCGCGTAAATATGAATATACATGTGTCGTAGGTAGTACACACATCACTGCAGTAGTAGTAGTACACACTGTAGTAGTAGTAGTAGTACACACTGTAGTAGTAGTAGTAGTACACACTGTCGTAGTAGTAGTAGTACACACTGTAGTAGTAGTAGTACACACTGTAGTAGTAGTAGTAGTACACACTGTAGTAGTAGTAGTACACACTGTAGTAGTAGTAGTACACACTGTAGTAGTAGTAGTACACACTGTAGTAGTAGTAGTACACACTGTAGTAGTAGTAGTACACACTGTAGTAGTAGTAGTACACACTGTAGTAGTAGTAGTACACACTGTAGTAGTAGTAGTACACACTGTAGTAGTAGTAGTAGTACACACTGTAGTAGTAGTAGTACACACTGTAGTAGTAGTACACGTGTTACTGTAGTAGTACACACTGTAGTAGTACACGTGTGTATAGTACAACACTGTAGTAGTAGTAGTACACACTGTAGTAGTAGTAGTACACACTGTAGTAGTAGTAGTACACACTGTAGTAGTAGTAGTACTACACGTATCTAGTAGTAGTACACACTGTAGTAGTACACTGTAGTAGTACACCTGTAGTATGGTAGTACACACTAGTAATAGTAGTACACACTGTAGTAGTACACACTGTAGTAGTACACCTGTAGTAGTAGTAGTACACACTGTAGTAGTAGTAGTAGTACACACTGTAGTATAGTAGTACACACTGTAGTAGTACACACTGTAGTAGTACACACTGTAGTAGTGGTAGTACACACTAGTAATAGTACACACTGTAGTAGTTACACACTGTAGTAGTAGTACACGTGTTACTGTAGTAGTAGTAGTACACACTGTAGTAGTAGTAGTACACACTGTAGTAGTAGTACACACTGTAGTAGTACACACTGTAGTAGTACACACTGTAGTAGTACACACTGTAGTAGTACACACTGTAGTAGTACACACTGTAGTAGTGGTAGTACACACTAGTAATAGTAGTACACACTGTAGTAGTAGTACACACTGTAGTAGTAGTACACGTGTTACTGTAGTAGTAGTAGTACACACTGTAGTAGTAGTAGTAGTACACACTGTAGTAGTAGTAGTACACACTGTAGTAGTAGTAGTACACACTGTAGTAGTAGTAGTAGTACACACTGTAGTAGTACTACACGTGATACTAGTAGTAGTACACACTGTAGTAGTACACACTGTAGTAGTAGTAGTACACACTGTAGTAGTGGTAGTACACACTGTAGTAGTAGTACACACTGTAGTAGTACACACTGTAGTAGTAGTAGTACACACTGTAGTAGTACTACACGTGATACTAGTAGTAGTACACACTGTAGTAGTACACACTGTAGTAGTAGTACACGTGTTACTGTAGTAGTAGTACACACTGTAGTAGTAGTACACACTATAGTAGTACACACTGTAGTAGTGGTAGTACACACCGTAGTAGTAGTAGTACACACTGTAGTAGTAGTACACGTGTTACTGTAGTAGTAGTACACACTGTAGTAGTAGTACACACTATAGTAGTAGTAGTACACACTGTAGTAGTACTACACGTGATACTAGTAGTAGTACACACTGTAGTAGTACACACTGTAGTAGATGTAGTACACACCGTAGTAGTAGTAGTACACACTGTAGTAGTAGTACACGTGTTACTGTAGTAGTAGTACATGTGTTACTGTAGTAGTAGTAGTACACACTGTAGTAGTAGTAGTACACACTGTAGTAGTGGTAGTACACACTGTAGTAGTAGTACACACTGTAGTAGTACACACTGTAGTAGTAGTAGTACACACTGTAGTAGTAGTAGTACACACTGTAGTAGTGGTAGTACACACTGTAGTAGTAGTACACACTGTAGTAGTACACACTGTAGTAGTAGTAGTACACACTGTAGTAGTAGTAGTACACACTGTAGTAGTAGTACACGTGATACTAGTAGTAGTAGTACAGTGTAGTAGTAGTAGACCCTCTACCTGAGTTTGTTTCCCAGTTCAACTCGGACGAACGCCCCTGGACAACGCCCCCCAGTGCTGGATTAAGCTAATGCGGGGCCTGTAGCATATGACGTCATAAAGGGGCCCTAAATAAATAAATAAAAACACGTAAATATTAAAACGCAAATGTTTAACTTGTATAGTAAAGTAACTGTTATAATAGAACGAATCGCTAACCCTAAACACCCAGCCGTTCATAAAAGTCGAAGGCGGTATAGTACTATAGTAATAGAGCAAGTGCAGAATCAATTTATCGCTCGAAAGCATTTAGCGCGGGGCCCTTGAAAGTGCGGGGCCCGTAGCCACGACATATGTAGCTACTTGTGCTACTAGGATGATAATCCAGGTAGCAACAACAGGTTCCACACTGCCCACCAGGGATTAGTTGTCTGTCTGTCGTGCACGGAATGCGCTGTCCAACCAAGTTGCTACCTGCCCACTACGAAGGAATCATAATTATCCTCCACTTTGGCCATCCTATCTTAATCTCGCTCCTTCGCGACGTCTATCGAGTCGCATGCAGTTTGCGTGAACATCAGCACACGGGGATACAAAGGCGGCCGGGCGTGGTGTTGGCCACCCACCCCCTCGTGTGTCGTGCCGGCCTCTATAGGTGCTACTCGCTAACAGCACTTGCCCCGACAGTCTGTGAAGGCTACCGGGGGGATCTTTGTATAGGAAGCAGCTTTGGACGTGGACATTGACGTGGGATCGATCGAAATGTCTCGTGCGGTGTGGAGATGCCATGACCAAGGGTGGCACAGTCGGGTTTATTTTACAATCGGGTTAAATTGTTCTTGATATTAAACCCGATCATCTGAGATTGGGA